ACTATACTAATCAGAAACGTTGGGGAACCATTCCCTTGTTGGCCTGGTTAAATATGTCTCCTTGAGCTTGTGGAGAACTCATTTTCGTGGTTATATTGAATGCCACTCTGGAGGTTTATATGCCGAACTTATTTATTGGCTGAATGTTGACAGTAACAAAAAGGAAGAACTAAAAGTTGATGTCTGGAAATCTCATTCAGATCTATAGTTTGATGTCTCTCTCTCTCTCTTTAACCTTTTACTGTGATTTGGGTGAAACTTTACATCATGCTCTGGTTTTCCATTCAACAGTTCATGCATATGTTCTTTGATGTCATTGACTGAAATCCCCACAACATAACAGTATTTTTCTCACTTCTCTGTGTTGAACGTTTGTTATTCTTCTTTTCTATCCTCTGTTGTTTATCCCTGAGCAAATGGTACCCTTTTGATATCATATGACTCATTATTCTAAGGAGTGTGTATTCCCTGGTGTGACTGTTAGCCTTAGAGACCTGTCTCTACTTTAGCTGGAAGTTAAACCACAGGAATGAGTTCAGTTCTGGGGATGAACGACGATTGAGGATCATAGTCTGAGAGGTTTTACCAGTCTGTAAGATCAGTAAGCCTGAAGTTTCTTATAATTTTGAGTTTGGATGCACATTTTTCTTATACTTGATCTAGGACCCTCTGTTGTGATCCCACAACAGGTAGTGATGGCAGCTTGGCACCTTCTAGTTTCTTCTAGTCTCAGGGTTGGGTTTTTATAAAAAAAATTTTATTTTATTAATTTTAATGAACATTTACAAAGATTTTTGGATTTCCATTCATTCATTGTTGCATTTTTCTCCCTGTGGTCTCAGGGTTTTGAAAGTTGAAGTTCATCTGGACCATTAGTTCTTTGGATTGACTGTTTCCAGGCTCCACGATTGTCTTGATTCTTTGCTCTGGATGGAGAGAGACCAGCAGTTGAACCTTAGATGACTGACTGGTCACAAGCTTTTAAGACTCCTATTTCTACTTACCAAACGAGGAAATAGAACATCGTCTTTGTGGAATGTTAATGCCAGTTAATTTTGATGATCTTGAGATTTGGTCCTTAGGCCCTTAATCAAAACTTTTCTAGAGAAATTAATATTAGCATTATAAGTAAATTTATAAAAAATAATTTCTATATTTATAAAACATAGCAAAAGAAGATAAAGAAGCATTAATTTACATTTTAAATTTTTAGGAAAATACAGAATACATTTCATTTTTGCTGATTGTATTTATAGGCTTACAAAATTCTTTGGAGAAGGGTATTGAGGGTACCATGGACTGCTAGGAAAATAAACAGATTCATCCTGGAAAAGGTCAAACCGGGCTGCTCCTTGGAGGCAAGGATTCTGAGACTCCGTCTAACATACTTTGGACATGTTGTGAGGAGAGACCGGTCCCTGGAGAAGGACATCATGCTTGGGAGGGTGGAGGGACAGCGCAGGAGGGGAAGGCCCTCTATGAGGTGGATTGATTCAGGGGCAATTGGGATGGGTGTATCAGAGATGGTGCAATTGGCACAGGACAAAGCAGAGTTTAGGGCTGTTGTACATAGGGTCGCTATGAGTCGCAAGCGACTCGATGGCACATAACAACAACAGCAACAACAACAAGCTTTTATTTTAAATAGTTTCTTTCCCTTCTGTTCTGTTGCACTTAATTGTATATTTATATTAAGAGACATTTCCCATGCCTGATTCTTCATTATAAGCTAAATGTTCATTGGCTTTCTGAGTTTGTTTTAGATAGGGTTAGTTATGAGATGGAACACCTTTTAGGAAAATCTTTATTTAGCCTAGTTGAATAAGCATTTCTTCAACTTTATCTGCATTGCAATGTTGTTGTACCATCAAGTTGAGTTTGGCCCCTTGAGACCCTGTGTATAAGAAACCTGAACCCTGGCCCAGCCTGTGCTATCCTCACCACCTCTGACACACTTGAGCCCATTGCTGTAGTCACTATGTCATTCCGTCTGATTTAGGTGATAACCTCCTAATGTTGCCATCCTCAGACAGTCCTTTAGCACAGATCTCAGCACCGTAGCCCTCTCCTCACTCAGTGCTGGTGTGCAAGCAAGACCTCAGCTTGCTTCTTTCACAGGTTTTCATTACCCCTCTTTGCCTTCTACTCTTACCTCCTTTTTCTCTTCCTTACTTACCAGTTTCTCCTTTTAAGAGTCATTCTTGATAAGAGAAGGAGCTTTGGTGGCTTAGTGCTAAGGAGTTACACTGCCAACACAAAGGTATACAGTTAGAATCTACCCACTACTCTTTAGGAGAAAGATGGGCGGTCTCCCATGTAATTTACAGCCTCGTAAACCTGCTGGAGGGTCAGCTATGAGTTGATTCCAACTAAACAGTACTTAACAGTATCAACTACTTAATAAGAATGATTTCAATCTATATAGCCTGGAATCACAATTTCCATGCTATAGACTGATGGGAACCACTGGTTGGAAACATATCATAGTGAAGCAGAAAATCCTAGAAACTTCTGTTTTCCTGATTAATAACCCAGTGACTTTGTCCTTTGGTTTCTGTTGTGGTAAGTATAACTCCCCTGCTCTCAAGACATTTCCTCAGGTGTCTGAGGCTGAAAATCTTTACAGGAGGAGACTGCGTGTCTTTCTCTCAGAGAGCAGCTGGGAGACTGCATCTTTAGAGCTCCTCATGTTAATTAGACTAGACGTGCTTCCCATGAAATCTTTAAAAGACTTTGATAAATTTCAGGAGGGGAAAAAAATAGAAAAGATAAAATTAGATAGAGCCAACCTAAAGATTTTGCCACCCAATTACAAATTAGTTTTTCTTTTAACAGTGTTTTATTTGCTTTATCTCACATACTTGGGACATGTTGTCAGGAGGGTCCAGTTCTTTGAAAAAGACATCATGCTTGGGAAGGCAGAAGGTCGACATAAAAGAGGAAGACCCTCAACAACATGGATTGACAGAGTGATTGTAACATTGGGTTCAAGTGTATTGGAGATGGTAAGGATAGCACAGGATATTCAGATCCATTGTTCATAGGGTGCTATTAGATGTCAGCTTGACAGCACCTAACAACATATTTAATAATACACATATTTATATATATCTGTAGGTCATATAATAACATTCTATGGAACACATACTTTTGTAGCCTATTTTTCACTTCAAGGAAAATTCTGGGCTCGAGAACACAGTTTTTTGGCAGAAGGATGGAATTCTGAGAGTCCTTTTGATCTTACTTCTCCCCAGTTTCCAGCTCCTAGCTTCCTGGATGTGTGTCTTCTTAGTGTTTGCCCTTATGTCTCTCCCTTCTTTTATGGTAAAAATTTAAGTGGAGTCTTAGATGTCCAAGTTGGAGCTATGGAACCCCCACTATGTCTGATGTTACCAGATTGATTTTTCCTTTCCCTTTTGAGCTGGAAAGGGGCTCGTGGGGGAGAGGAAATAAAAAAGAAAATCCATCATTTTAGAGTATTGCTGACTGTCTGTTCTAATTACTCCATATCAAAAGACGAATTGCGTTGGGGAAAGTCTCTTGTCAGGGACCTCTCTAGAGTACTGAAGAGCAACAATGTCAGTCTGGAGACTTAACGAGCACCATATCCAGGACATGGTCTTTGCAATTACGTGCTATGCATCAGAGAGCTGGACGGTGGTTAAGGATAATAGAAGGAGAATTGATGCTTTTGAGCTGTGGTGCTGGAGAAGAGTGTTGAATATACTATGGACTGCTAGGAGAACAAACAGGTTTGTCCTGGAGAGGGTAAAACCAGGGAGCTTGTTGGAGGCAAGGATTCTGAAGCTTCATCTGAGAGACTTTGGGCATGTTGCAAAGAGGGACTAGTCTTTGGAGAGAGACGTCATGCTTGGGAGGGTGGAGGGACAGCACAAGAGATGAAGACCCTTGTTGAGATGGATTGACTCAGAGACTGGGGTAATGAGGGTAGGTGTGACAGAGACAGTAAGGTTGGCTCAGGATAGAGCAGAGTTCAGAACTATTGTACATAGGGTCTGTATGAGTTACAAGCGACTCAAAGGTGTATAACAACAACAACAACAACATGTGTAAAACAATGACCTCTTGCACTATATTCACACTTAGTTTAGAAGGGAATATATAAATATATATATTTCAGATTCTCCATGAGAATAGATGATTGTGTCCATGTTTCACATTTGTTGTTAGGTGCCATCATGTTAGGCAGGGCTTATTATAAACTTATTTAAAAGAAAGGAGAATGAAGATAGGACAGAAATGATTGTGAAAAATGCACTTTAACTGGAGAGACGGCATTAATTGAAGGAGCCCTGTGGCTCCTTGGAGTCTTAGGATCTGATCTCACCTTATCAGAACTATCTGTGACTTTGTCAAACTGCTTGACTACTCTGAGCTTCTGTTTCCATGGCTGTAAATGAGAAAGTAGTTAAATTATGTGTAATAAGGACTTGCTTTTCACTTGTATTATTCATCTTTTCAGAAATTACTTACTACATGCTCTTTCATGCCAGGCACTTACTTCTCTGAATGCTAGACATGTAAGAGACAGTGAGCGAGTTGTAGCCCCCTGCTCACCTTGGTGTAATAATCAGTTGTGAGCTGACTGTGACTGGAAAGTACAAGTCATCATTTGAAGGACTAAGTTCTAGGCCTGGCTTTGCGTCTAATTTGGATAGAACAGTTTCAAGCCATTTAAATACTTCCTTACTTTCTCATTTGTAAAATGAAGATAATAATACCTGACTTGTTTACTGTAGACTCTTGGTTCAAGACTCAAAATAATGTTTGTGGGAATCCAACTGATTCTAATAATGGTGTGCAGTATAATACAGTTTTGTAAGAGGGTCTGTAGTACTACTGTAAAGAGGATATTATTTTCCTATATTTTAATATGTCATTTACTAAAGATAAGTTAGAATAATCCTAGGTTAACTTAATTGTTATCTATGAGAAATGTTTGAAAACTTCAAGTGTGTGTTTTCTTCCTCTTTTCACAGAAAAAGATAATGCTGAATATGTTTTTAGACACGATGATGGCTGACCCCCCTCCCCAGTGCCTTGTCTGGCTCTCTCTCATGCACAGGCTCGCCCATGTGGAGAATGGTAAGTGGAACTTAGTTCAATTCCTCACACTCCAAGATATGTATAAGCTGCTTATTTGTAAACTTCTTTGCAGTGTTCACTGACAGTCACTTAGGAGCTCTGGTGGCCTAGTGGTTAAAGAGTTGCGCTGCCAACTCAAAGTCAGGTGATTTGGACCCACTAGTTATTCTGTAGGAGAAAGATGGACAGTCTCCTTCCACACTATTTACAGCCTCTGAGAACCTGCTAGAGGGTCAGCTGTGAGTCGGTTCTAGCTTGACAGCATGTAAGAACTAGTACTCCATTACCGCTCCGGGGCTTTTACTCTCAATAGAGGAGCACTTATTTCTTTAAAAATTAGGGGTGGTATTTATTATTTTAGACATGCTGCCAAGAAGTAGTAATGTTGAGTCATAAAATGTTGTGGCTCCAACCCTAGGTTCTTAGCTCAGAGCTCAATTTTTGTTTTGGTTTGGGTTTTTGTTTTGTTTTGTTTTGTTTTTAAATTATAAAAACCTTAGTTTTGAAAGTCAGATAAAATATCATAGCAATTACTAAAACTATAATTATTTTTGAATCATTTAAAGGAAAATAGATAAGATATAATTTAGCACGAGTTTCAGATGTCTTCATTTCCCTTCCATTTATTATTTTTACATTGAGTCTGCTCTTGGGATTCTTCCCAGTCATTTGACTTAAGTCTTTGTTCTACTTTGAATTGAAATAGTAGTTATCTCTTAAAACCAAAGACCCACTTGCTGTTGAGTTGAAACAGTTCATGGTATAAAGCACTTGGCTGCTAACCAGACAGTTGGAGCCTGTCCAGAGCGGTGTCGCTGAAGAAACCTGTGGTGACCTCCTGTCCCCCGTCTAGCCCCTCAGGACTCCTGAGCACTGTTCTGCTCTGAAAAATGGCCTTAATTATGTCTTGTTTTTTTTCTGCTGCCTGCCTGCCTTCTTTTTTCAGATTGTTTGAGCTTATTAAAAGAACAATCTTGGTTGTTGTTGTTGTTGTTGTTTGTTTCTTAATACAGCCTCCCTTCTCTCAAGGGAGATTGCCTGGCTGTATTCACTTTGCAAATGAAAATAGGGAAGAATGGCTGGAAAGCTGTTAAGAAGTAGTTTTTTCCTTTCCTCCTTATAAGAATGAAGTACGTAGTTTCATTCTTTTTACTTCTCGCTTTACTTTTTTTTTCTTTTCCTTTTTAATATTCCCGAGGCACGTCGTTTAAATTCACCAGCTCCTCTGCAAGAGAAAGATGGGCAATCTCCTGTGTGATTAACTGCCTCTGAGAACCCACCAGAGGTCAGCTGTGGCTAAGTTCAACTCAACAACAACAACAACAACAATAATAGCATGACTTTAATAAGGGATCTCTGGTGGCCTGGTGGCAAGAAGCCACGCTGCAATCCCAAAGGCATGCAGTTCAAATCCACCATCTGCTCCATGGGAGAAGGATGGGCAATCTCCTCTTGTAGGAGTAACTGCTTCTGAAACCTTATTGGAGGTTCAGCTATGCATTGGTTCTGACTCGATGATACACAACAATCACAGCAAATGACTTTCACTCACAAGCGCCTCAGATTTAGGATTATATACTTAAACAACTAGAATTTTTTAGTATGGATTAAAACAGCCAAAAGTTTGAGCAGGATTTTGGGATAGAGGTTGAAGTTATGATGTGACAGAGTTACTGTGCCTCATGTGACATCCTTTCTCCCATACCCTTCTTGCTATTTCCTCTCCTTCAAGTCTTCCATCCTGTGGAGTGTTCCTACTGCCGGTGTGAGAGCATGATGGGCTTCCGGTACCGATGCCAGCAGTGCCACAACTACCAGCTCTGCCAAAATTGCTTTTGGCGTGGCCATGCCAGTGGCCCTCACAGCAACCAACACCAGATGAAGGAGCATTCCTCTTGGGTAACTGTTTTGTTTCTCAGTCTGCGTCTCACTGCTGTCAGTCTTCTTGCATCAGTCACAGCTCCCGGGCCAGTTTCCTGATAGAGGCCAATTGAAAAAGGAAGAAATGTGATAAAAGCTCAGTACTGACATTTATGCTGGAGGTGGCAAAAATATCATGCAGCATCACTTGCTTATAAAAGTAGAGCTAGAAAACCCACAGAAATAGAGGTTAATTGATTGCTTTCAAAATGATCCTTTATTTAATAAAAGTGAATGTTACTATACTCCTCACCCAAAGTGCAAAGTAAGCTCCTTCTCATATTAAGTTTGTATAAGAGGTATCTCCCAGATGCTTGTTGTTCTGAGCGTTGAAATTATTTTGCCAAGCAAATTAAGTTTTCTTTATGTTTATGAAATTTAAATGTTGAAAGAACACTGGATGAAATAAAGGAGTTTAGTCTTTGCCTTTCTAAGATTGGGGGAAACACTGTATTTGATAATCATTCCCTTATAAGAATGTATCCTGACCTTTGAAGGAGTCATTTTTAAAAATTATTATTATACTTGTTTATTTACAAAATTCAAATACATTATTTTCCAGAACAGATTCTTTCAATTTTCTTCATCCCTCACCCCCTCAGATTGTACAACCCAATGACTAGGAGGAGTCTTTTAATACCAGTTTTTGGGTGGAGTTGATGTGGGCTTTTTCTTTTTCATCATCATTTTTCTTCCATTCTTCAATTTATTTCCAAAGTTTTAAAAATGCCATACTTTTCTTTTAAGTTGTTACAGCCTTTGTTTTGAAACAAAACACTACCGTAAGCACTACAAATTATATGAGGTCAGCTGTGTAATTTGTGTTCTCAATTTTTTTAAACCTGGTGATCCTACTGGGTTTCTGGTATTAGTTACTACAATAATTATGTATTTTCCTCACTTTAAATCTTTTTAAAATTCAGCCAAGAAAAGGTAAATAACCTCAAATTAAGAATTATTTAAAAACAAGCTTTAACTTAAGTGTATGCTTCATATAAATCTGATAGTGTTGCAGATTTTTTAAAATAAGTAGGTTTTCAGTTAAAATTAGCCATAAAATTGTGTTAAACTAAACATCCCATGCTAAGTCTTGTCTTGTGAATTCCAGTAGGATTTATTTGAGGAGTCATTGTTTTCATTCATAACAAAAAAAAGTCTAGTGATTTTTCGTTTTTGTTGAGTAAGGTAATTTTTAGTAGATTCTTTGAGTACAGTACTGCACTGCATTGACTTGTTATTTATTACTTTGCTTCTTATTGAGGGTGGGTCTCTTTAGATAGAGGTAAAATTTTGTTCTATTGTCTTTCATAATTATTAGATTAGCTAGTATGTTTTTCCTGAAAATAAGCCTTCTAGATATTAGGACTAGATGAGACCTTACTTTGAACCATCTCATTTACCCATTCTATAACACTTTGAGGGAGCTCTGATGGCCCGGTAGATAAAGGGTTGTACTACCAACCCAAAGGCACACAGTTCAAATCCACCAGCTGCTCCTCTGGATAAAAATGGGCCGTTTCCTGCCATGTGACTTGTAACTTCTGAAAACCCACTGGAGGGTCAGCTATGATGGCATATACCACCAGCACCAAGAATAGCAACAATAACACTCTTTACATGTTAAACAGTTTGTACTTTATAATACACAAAGCTATTTTTCATGTTGTTGTTGTTGCTTGCTGTCAAGTCGAGCATGACTCATAGTGAGCCTTTGAACAAAAGGCCTGAAGCCCCTCTACAACTATCATCATTTATCAAAGTTCATAGAGATTCAAGAAGAATGTTGTTTAGTAAGTGGAAGAAGCTGTGCTGCAATCTCGAAATCATGTGATTTGAGGCCACCAGCTTCTCTGACAGGAAGATGAAAGGAAGATGAAAGGCAGTCTTTTCCCGTGTAATTAACTGCTTCTGAAAACCTGTTGTTGTTGTGTGCTGTCGAGTCGCCTGCGACTCATAGCGACCCTTTGTACAACAGCCCTAAACCCTGCTCTATCCTGTGCCAATCGCACTGCCTCTGACACACCTACCCCCATTACCCTAGTCACTGAATCAATCCACCACATTAAGGGTCTTCCCCTCCTGTGCTGTCACTCCACCCTCCCGATCATGACATCCCTCTCCAAGGATTGGTTCCTCCTTACAACATGTCCCAAATACGTCAGATGAAGCTTCAGAATCCTTGCCTCTAAGGAGCAGCCCAGCTTCACCCTCTCCAGGATGAACCTGTTTGTTCTCTTAGCAGTCCATGGTACCCTCAATACTTTTCTCCAGCACCACAGTTCAAAGGCATCAGTTCTCCTTCTAGCATCCCTAGTCATTGTCCAGCTCTCCAGTGCATAACAAGTGATTGCAAAGATACATTTAAAATTTTTTTTATTAAATTAGAACAAGCATACAGAAAAGTATACAAATTTTGTTTTCTAATTTGAACTCATTAACACTCATCTGAAATAGGTCTTCCCTCCAACTATTGCTTTTATTTCAGCTTGGTTCTTTATTTTCATTAAGCCCTTCATTTCTGGGCTACTGACTTAAAATCTTAATAAAAATGAAACTCTTCAGCATGCATAGTTTTGAAATGTGGTAATTCAGATTATGACTATATACGTTGTATATTGCAGATATATACTCAGGATGTTTCATCCCTGTATGTGTGTGTGTAACTTTTTTAAAGTTAGAACATTCTTTGAGCAGTTGCCTTGCTCTGTAAGGAAGACCTGAGGGAACCCTTGAGGTTGACAATGGGTAAAGAGATTTCTACCTAACAAGAAAATGTGTAGACAGTTAAATAGTAATTTATTTACACATTTGCTAATGCAAACATGCTATTAAAACATACTAATATTTTGAATAGATCTTTCTATATGTTTACATCGAATGAATTTAATATGACTTTAGCCAGCTTGTTTATGGATTTGTATTGTATACATGTGTCGTGTTTAATGCCTAGAAGTATATTTTTATCTTCTTCAGAGTTTTTGTTTAATGTCATAGCTAAGTCATTAGTTTATTGTTAATTAGTCACTTATAGTTTATAGTTATTAAGTCATTAGTCATATAGTGTAAGTCATTATTTTTTTTTTAGTCCCTGATTCAGTTTGCCTTCATTATAAAACAAAAAAGCCATATGGTATCATGTCTGTGGTTCAACTTGTCAACACATTTATTCTTGCGTTCAGAGGATGCTTTTGAACACCTGCTATTTGCCAGGCACTGCTTTTTTTTTTTTAGGATGCATCTATGAACAAACTAGACAAAAATATGCACTGTGAACATAGCCTTATTTTTGAGAGACGTGGGAAGACAGCACAAGTACTTCTCCAGTATGGGCATTTTCCCATTCTTGTTGCACCACACACATTTCTATGGCATTTCTTGGCCCCTTTGTATGTGAGTGGGACCCTGTTCTATCAGCAGAATGTGGACAGAATAATCTGTGTCTTCCTAAAACATGGCTGTTTGTAGAAGCATACCTTATCTACCTTCTGCCCCAGCAGGATCCTAAGGAGGGTTAAAACATAAAAGAAAAGGGTCAGAGAATGAGAGGTTGAGAATGTTGTCATACCAATCCATTTGACTGTGGTGGGAGCAGGGTACAAAGCTCTGTGCTGATTCACTATGGTTTGAGGAATTTTCATAATGTAGTTACTATTGGGGGTTGGATTCTGGTATGAAAACTTGGAGTTTGGTGGCATTGTGTCAGAGCAGTTGGATGGCATGATAAAGAGGAAACACATATTTGAGACGGGAAAGATAAAGCCATGTTACAGTACTAACCACTTTGGAAAAAGTTTGGAATGTGGAAGGCACATTTCATGCTGACTTAGGTCAAGATGTTGAAAAGATCCAGAGCATATAGTGATGTGTGTTGGCTGTTAATGGCAAAGTATTACAAGAAATAAATGAGGACAAGAAAGAGTGGTCTAGATTTTTCTTAAAAAAGTTAAATTGGGTGGGATAAAGAGAGGGCCACTATTTTGGGTAGTAAAAGGAGAAATAGGCTGCTTCCAGACCCCAGAGGATAAAAAAATATGAGTTGAAGAAAGTGTTGAGCAGCAAAAGCTTAGTGAACGTTCCTGACCGGATGAGGGGAGCAGCCTCTGCTTCTCGCAGTGGTTCCTGTTCCTGGCTGCGCAGCAGAATCACCTGCAGAGCTTCTGATTTCATTGTCGTCCGTACAGAAGGATTTTGAAAACATTTCCCAAATGATCATATTGTGGAGCCGCAGCTGAGAACCGCTGACCTGTTATTGCATATGGCCTCCAGGTGGCTGCTCTCAGCTGAAAGAAAATGCCAAGGAAGTAACAAAATAAATTAGGCTTAAAAATTATGTCTAGGAAAGAATTTTGTTTGTGTGGTTATTGCACATAGAACTGACTGGAAAAAAAACCAACAAAACACCCCACCCCAGATCAAAGACCTGCTAAGTTTCTAAAGGAACTATGTTGTCAGAGAAACCATGAGCTTGGACTGAAAAAGTCCTTGACTTTTGCGGCATAAAACCACTTTCTAAAATCCAGAACCTGGCTTGGCAGGAGGTGGGCTGTGAATGCTGTGTAGCCCCCAAGGAGGGCATGCTTCTCAGCGCCTCCATCTCTGGAATATTGGACAAGAGTGGGTAAGGGCGAAACTACAGGGTTGCACAAGGTGGAGGGAGTGGAGGAAGGAAATGGGAAGGATCTGGGCCATAAGACAGGGCAATGATGGGCAAGGTCCAGTGATGATTAGTTTTATAAAACATAATGCATGAGAATGATTGTATGAAACACAATGTGAGTGAAGATTAGTGTGAAACACAATATATATGAACTTTATAAACAAACCAATAAAAGAAAGAACCTCCTGTTCCTGCTCCCCCGTGTATATGAGAGTGGGAAGAGAATGATGCACATAATTGCCTTTTCAGGTCTTAGATCTTGACAGGAGCTGTGGGTCTGATGCATTTGTGTGTGGATGTTGAGTAACTATTAGATAAACTA